GTGATTGTTTGATGCAGGTATGTGAAGGGCCGGGTGGGTGATCGAGTTGTGGTTGGTACTACTGTTCTGCCTGATTCTACATGGAACACCTTGCAATGAGATTTGATGCCAGAGTAAGTGCACTGCATGCGTTCTGTCTCAAGAATACGGAAATCTTTTTACTGTATCATGTTTACACACTTTACATCGTGACCAGCTAAAAGGAGGAGACGAATTTTTAAAAATCGATTGAAGAATTATATCACAAGATTTTGCACATTTAAGCATTATTATATTTTTTGGGGGCAACAGCAGCCATTCATTGAGCTAAATAGCATGTCATTAATAACATTACCAAAATGATTTGAAAAAAAAAATGTTTCAACCTTTAAAACAAAATTCCTACCTTTTAAGATCGTGTCAACTGAAATGCAGTTATTCAAACATCGATTGCTTAAAGAAACGAGTTCCTTCCAATGGCGTCGCGTAATGCATGTTATGACAAGTGATTAAATAATTATAATGATGTCCCATATTACAGGATTCATTTGTGATTTCATGATCTTATTCTAGACAGTGAATTTACTCTGTTCGTCAACGGAATCGCTGAAAGCACAAAAACAAGTGTTGCAACACCTAGCTGGGTACGTATGACATTTGGCGCATTATGTTTCTACCGAATAAGACTTGGAAGGTTTGACTTAACTGCCAGCTGAATTATCTTTCAAACGTACCCATTTGATGCACTTTAAATAGTTACCAGATACGAGCTCCTTATAGTCAGCAACATGCATATTTGTATGGAGAATTGTATTACAATTTTCCCAGTTTTCTTGTGCCTATTCCAAAAGATTTCGGTATGCTTATTAGATTTATAGCATAATCGTTTTCCCCAACAGGTGAGCAGTGCCCAAGTATACATCGGCAGAGATGAACGTAGTTTCCTCAATGGAACCATGGATGAGGTACGGTACATTCAAACTTGTGCCCATGAAGCTGATGGACGTAATATGGGGTGTTTTTTTTAAGCATGTATCAACGTTTGAAGGTTTTCCTTAGCCTTTTCAATACATTGCAACCCAAAGCAAGGTTCTATTTGGTTTTGAGTAAAATTGGAGAGCTCCATATGTCTTTAATCAAAAGATTACACTGCGATTGATTCAGCTCCAAGTTCAAGAAAGTTTTATATCACAAATAACTTCATTGTATCAAACGATATCGGGATGATACTCGAATTCAGATAGGCTTTCATTGTCAAAAAGTTCTGACGACTGTTTCATACTAGCCACTCTGGATCGACAGTCTATAACGTTCGTCAGCAATGATATAATCCATTACATTCACAGGTGCGTATTTGGGGTGTAAGTCTCTCCGATGAAGAGATAAGGAACACATGCAGCTAGCTAGCCTGGAACGACAGAAGCATAAAGACCTGCTGGATGCGCACACTATAACATGGACAATGAAGAACAAGGTATGGAAATCCAGGCATGAGTAAACCAAAGCACTGATCTCTTCTCTTTCAGCAGTGTCATTTCACCGAATCTTATACATTGTGTGTCAAACTTGTTATTGCTGTTATCTTTATGGATTTGCAGGCCTACTGTACATGGTTGGTAAAGCAAAGCTGACGTCACGACATTCGATATCACTATTCTATTTTTGGTTTACAGGATCAAGTATGCTTCTAGACCAAGGCCTCTACGCCCACCACGGTCTGATCGTCGGGGACCCCGAACTTCATTCCAAGCTTTGTTGATCAGGGTCGCTTCCAGGTCACATACCCAGAAACCGACGAAGAAGACGCAATGTGAACTATCACTATGAGGAAACCACACGACTCTAAAAGTGAAGCCAAATTAACGTTCATAGTGATATTGATTGCTAGCCATAGTTGTGGAAAAGCACTCCAGCCAGATCCCATGAAATAAAAGGAGGGATATAAATGTTTGGATTTAAAATTTAATAATTTTTGTTTGTGTAAATATGCTGTTAGCCGATTTGTTGATGAATAAAGTGTTTATAAGGTAACCATCCCTGTGTGTGTGTGATTTCCCTGTTTTTAACATTTGTATTTCAGCTTAGTTTATATGTACATAGAGAGACTCGTTTCCGTCACATTTTGATAGGAATTAAACTTTTTACCAGGGTTTTGCCGAAATTAATCCGTCATTTTTTGACAATTCAGGAAATAAAGTTGTGTGTGCTTTGAAATCGCATGCAGTATGATTTAAGAGCGTCCATTTAAAAAAAAATATATGTTTGCTGCTTGGTTGTAAATTTTAGTTGTTTTTCTGTTTTGCTAACGATACATAATTTAAAAAAAAATTACAATCAGTTGAAGGAAACAATGTAGAAAGTAGTTGAATAATTTCTAAGGAATTGCATGTATATTATTTTATATTATTATTTTTTATAAAGTGTGTGCAACTCTAATAGAGCAAAAAATATTGTTTGTATATTCTCTGTGATGTTGAAAGTATATTTTGACTGACCCCACCAAGAATACATGTAAAAACGTTCAAACTGTGTATGGATATAAGTTCTGTAGTTCGGACTCTAGAGGTTCCCAATGTACTTCGGATGATTAAATGCAACTGTTTTCAACAACAAATGTGTGTCGCATTATTTTAATTTTAATCCTGTCAAAGGTCATTTATGCACTAGTGGCGCTGTATAGCATTCTAAAACGATTCGATTAGCGGGGTACGGGAGGTATATTTGGCAACAATGCAGGGTCATCTCTCCAAACCCCAAATCTATATTACTTACTCAATGTGTTCTTTATCCTTACAAGTTTTTATTTCACAAGTAGTTGAACACATATATCATCTATGCATACTTTTAATTTGTTGCAAACGCTTGTTCCGAGCAAAACAATACGTTGTTGTGAATTTCAATGTTAACGAGATCAAAATTTATTGCCATTGCTTGTTTTTCCTTTTTCTTTCTAAGTTTACTTTTGTCACAATTTACATGAATTCACTTACATCTAATGTTAACCCATGGGACATGGAGTGCTCTGAAATGTGCAAAAACTAAATCAGGCCAACTTTACTTACTCTTTCGCCAGCAAATTTGTGCAAAAAATCCATTGGGCAAAGAAAGGTCCTCAGTATTTCACCAACCGAGTTTGCAGATTCAATTCAATTTAACACAACTCCCTGGGGATGTGCAAAATCGTATTAAAATGGGAGGATTCAGGACTGTTGGGGCTATAGAAGATATTTCTTCAATATTATTCCTCATGCGAAGGAAGTCAAGTGATTCAAAATGAGGCTAAACACTAGATAGTACATGTCGAACCACTGTCAACAATTTGGAAAGACTGACCTCTTCCTTCATTGTCATTAGTCTGGTTACTGACTAGAATATGGAGAAATGTGTTGTAAATAGAGATTAAAGTTGCCGGTTCATGCCACATGTTCTTTTGGCACAGTTCAGTACTGAAGCAAATGTTGGACTGGTTGTTTTAAGTGCCGTCTAATTTCTTGTATTGCATGTTTTCAAGACTTAAGCTTTGGGGCTCCTCATACACAGTATTGAGAGTCCCAAATTTCGGAATAATAGTAACCCATTACTTTCAGTTTTATCGTAACTATTTCTCTGTTACTTAAGTAATGACTCATGAAGAAAATGGACAAAAAAGGACAACCGTAAAGAGAATAGATAAATACTGAACTCATGAATCGACTGTTGGAACTTACCGATCTGTACTTCTCAGATGATATTCCATTCATGAATTTTCCAACGAAATGCTTTCCTGTGGTGAGTGACATATTCGATGAGAATACTCCAAGTCACAAAAGTGGCATTCATTCTAGTGGACGATGAAATGTGGTTTCCACAAATAAGCTGCTCTCCTCAAATTATCAATCACACGACAAGCATGTACTAGTTCTTGTTTTATTCCAGTATATTTCCGTAGCTGTATTACTGACATGTACAACTCCATTTGGATTTGAGAGGTAACAACGAGAGTTTGTATGCCGTACAAGCCAGCGTGGTGACTGCATGTGTGTGGCTCTCCATGTATTTCTAGGACAAATGTGCCTGTATGGTGGAACAAAAGTGTGAACCCAGGCGAAGGTTTAACAATAAGATCTGGTGATGCAAACGCATGAAGGGTCGAGCTGTCCAATACTGAACATGATCGAATTCATCTCATAGCACAAGGTATTATAAGAATCGAAACTATTTGTTCCCTTGTACACCGGGTAATAGTTGCGGGAGGGACTAGTTTAAGTCGAGGAAGGTCAATTAATGCAAAAAAGGCAGCCACTGCTACGCCACACTATCTTTTGCTAAAAACAATTGGTTAAAGTGTTCGGGACTGTGCCTCAGATCACACTACAGAGCATATAGAATTCAAAAAATCCGGGGCCCATAAGTGTGCCGCAGACCCACGGCAAGATTGCTTAATTTCTTTTTTTTCGGGAAACACAATTCGTTTTGCCACCCCCCCCCAAAAAAAAAAACAATTGTTTCTGATGGATCCACCCTTGTGTACGTTCATAAACATACTTATTACATGTTATTGTCCAGCTTACCTCTTTTACGTGTTTTTCATTTACGACTTAAAATTCATCAATCTTTACCATAACACATTGCCCGGTATTCTGTAAAACTGCATCGCCGCACCACTTTTGGGTCAAGCTCCATACCAGAAACCGGAGACTTTTTTGGGGCCCTTAGTGCACAATCATTCAAATCACTCATGTACTTTCAAGTTCGGGAATTTTGAACACAAACACCAGTTTTCAAGTTCTGTCCAAAAAAAGGTAAGTGTTCTTTCAGCAAAACGAAATCGATGAACACACTTCCCTAGTGAATTGTTTTCGTCTAGCTGAAAGAACACTTACCTTTTTGTGATCCGTGGACAGAACCTTAAAACGGTGTTGTACTGAACCACCCATATCACGATCTCAAGTTAGTCTTTTTTCTCCATCGCTTTGGCCTTCCTTATATTTTCTTTTGTTTTTCTAGTGCCTGACCAAATAAGAAATTATAAACACCATCCGCTAAAAAGGCGGGAAGGAGAGACATCGGTTTGTAGAATAATTAGCATCCAGTCCTGGTAGGTACCGTCGCCATGGGAACCGGGAACGGAGCGCATGCTCCATAGCATCCGTCACTTCATGCAAATTAGGGACGCCATACGCAGGGCATCGATAATAAGAAGTTCCACTAAAACACAATGTATATAAAAACACAACTAGGTTTAATAACTAACGAAAGTGGTGGAATTTACAAAATAAAGATTGTTACATGGACTTTGATTAGAGAAAACATATTAATTATCCACCTATAAAATGAACTTGAAAAGCAATGAAGGAGTTTGACCTCTCAGACGTTTTGTTTTTTTGCAAAAACAAAAGTCCGGACTGCACATCTTGAAACTTTTATACAGCTGCAAAGATTTCGTGTGATGTTGTGATGAATGCTTATGCAGTCAAGGCACATCTTGCCAAAATGACGATCAGTTCACATCGGTTTTTCACATATTTCAAAATACTGTCTTGTTACACAGATGGGCTCTTTCTAATAAGGGACATTTACGGATCATATTGAGCTACGAGCTTACTTGCTTCACGCGCAATCTCGCCACCAAAGCTGTCCCTCTCTTCCTGCGGTAGCCGCTCCCAGGCGGTGTTCAGTCTGCGTTTCATTGCGTCTGTATCAGAGAATGTAACCCTGGTACGCCCCTGGGTCGATAATGTGAACAGACACACCATACTGTTTCATTTCGTCACACCTTGTTGGCATGAATGAAAAGGAAGTTATAAGAGACTAAATAATAAAGAGGTTGTTATATTTCCGAGGTGTTGTTCCCGGATCATGGACACAGGACGTTGATTTGGATGTCAGTAATAAGTTGATGGCGGAAAGGTTCTTTGAACCGGATTCCATGGCATTTTGACCTTAATAGTGACAGCAAAAGTCTTGCGATTCAAAGATTTTGAGGCTTACGTTTTATACAGTTGGATTGTGATACCTTTATAATAATCTGAAAGGTCGGTGAAGGGAGAATTGCATTGTGCTTTCTCCTCAGGAATGTCTAGCTGTGCCCATGAAGGCCTTTGACACCGGGCCTGACTGTGACTGGGAAGGTCTGGTTGTCTTACACATTGGGATTAACGTTAACAAGCTGTGTTTCTGCTACTTTGATATAAAGCTATTGATACTACTAACCAGAGCATTTGCAATAATGTTTATTGGGCACTTTTCAAAAAGAATGTTGCATCCTGACGCCACTTTTTTTCTTGTATTATTATTATCTCAATGAATGGCAGTCACTGCAAAATGTTGAAAAGACATGAATCTGAGACTGAGAAACATTTTCAATTTTGTTTGAAAGTACTTTGATAATGTACTCGACTCTCCATAGACTTTGTACACAACCAATAAGTGCGTCAGGATGCTACATTCTTTCCCACTTTTGAAATTAACACAATATTCTTAATGCAAATTTTACGATAGGTAATTAATAACAAACTACGGTAATGCTAAATTGTTGATACCTGATGTTGTCTGAAAAAGCTTCTATGGCGGCTTTCGATGCTGTGTATATGGTCCCCGACGAGGGGAATAGCGCCACGCGCTGGACACGTTGACAATACGCCCTCTAGCGGCGCGGATGAGTGGGTAAAGCGTGTTGGTCACTTCAATGGCGCCAACGAGGTTGACCTGCAGGACTTTCACAATGTCATCCCTGTTCAGCCAATGGTACGGTCCCAGCGGGGAGATTATTCCAGCATTATTGACTAAGCCCCACAATTCTGGCAAAATCAACAAAGGCAGACATTTTGTGTTCTTATTTATCATGAAACAACAGAGCACGCCACCATGCGTTTAAAAGGGGTAACATTTCAACATCATGTCACCATTCTGCAAATGTATCTGCAGCGTTGGAAAACGATTAATGAACAGATTCTTTTTGTTTGTTTGGGTTTTTTTACACGGAGATTTGAGGGATTAAAGATGACCGAGTCGCAAGTCTGTATTTCTTGCTATCATTGTATTAGAAAGAATTTTGCCATTCCGACAAGTGTCAGGTTTATAAGTTTCAGCACATTTTCGATATTACAAGCTTTGTATTCGCATAGCAACGTAAGCATTTGCTCGTTTCCAGACAGTTTTATTAAATAATTTTATTTAAAACGCAGACTTTGATTTCCGCGCTGTTGATGTGTTATTTCATGGTTCCTGGTATTTCTGAATAAAAATTAAGATTTCAAACGAGGAATGTTATTGTGAAAGTGTATAACATCAGGAAATACCTTGTCCCTCCGGTATGATCGTTTGTACTGCATCACGCGCTCTGTGAACACTCTCACTGCTTGTGACATCCAACTGCAATGTAGTCAACCTCGATGACGTCACACGCTTGAGTTTAGCCGCGCCCTCCTCTGTAAGGCAGGCTGCGATCACGTGACACCCCCTGCGTCGATCCAGGTTGCGGGCGAGCAGGTTGCCGAATCCAGAGTCACCAGCCTGTGATGAAGACATACTTGCCTTCGATGTCGATATAGATGCGGTCTAGTACCCAGACTACTACTATACAGGTAATACTGCAACTGCAGCGCATACGAGCGCCAACATGTCTGATGTCTGTTGCAAGTCAGAATGATGAAAACGACATTCAATTGAAATTATTGAGTTTGGAGCAAAGTTTAATACATGTATTAGCAAGCATTATTTGTTTAATGGGAATCACCCATCACTAGGCCAGATGACCACTCAAGGTACGGGTTACAATAATGATATCACACGACTCTTTAACTATGGCCTATAGACCTTTATCATGCTGCAAGCATTCAGTCGTTTTCCCTGTATCCAATAACATACTGAATGATTGTGTGCAAAAAGGAACCAGACTATTTTTTCTTCCCGCCTCACTTTGGTTACGTTGATTTGAATGGAGAAAAATCAATATGGCCGCAACATGATAATGGTCTATATTACGCCACTTCGGTCATCGTGTAGCCTATTCATCGTGTAGCCTATTAACCGAAAGCTTACTTTACTACGTGATACATGCACTACACTTCACTAATAATGTTGCTAGTACACGGCATTCTTCACACAAAAACCTTTTCCCGTATGTTTGGAGACGAACACCACCAACATAATAAATAACATGGATATCATCTTATCATTTGTAGTTGTACAGTCATCATGAAGACATAGATTGAACCTACCTTCTGTGTGCGGCCTAGCTACTGCATGTGTGTCAGAGCACCGGCAGTGTTTGCAGGTCAACGTTGATTGTGTGATATATTTCTTTTGTATTGACCTAACGCAGGGGTAACGGACGTGTATTGCACTTCGTGACTATTTTAGAGATGCTCTTTGCCCCGTGAGCTATAAATATCTAGCTCTTTGACAACTTGTGGGCCTATAGTTTGAATTCCCCGAGACCATACAATGAAGTCGAAAGCTTCAAAATTGCACGGCCCATGGAAGCAGTTTCGAATTGTTTGGGCATACCATGGGTAAAGCAATGTAAGAAATATAGAAAGTAGGGAAAACTTCAGACCACACACACAAAAGTATTGCATCTTTGTGGGTGAAACAAGAAGTGAACGGCGAAAAGGTGAACGTGCGTGCTATAATGATTTTTAGCCAATCACAATTAAGTAATACACCTGTTATGTGGACCTGACAAATCAGAGCCACTCGTCATGAAGGGAGGACTTTTAGGGCAAAAAAAGTAAAGGAAGAGCGATTCGCTCTTTGCACGCTTCCACCATAAGCATGCAGAGCCTCGATCGATAGGGCATTTTTACACAATAAATATATCCGGTTCAGTGATTCCCGTGTCGGGGTTCAGTGATTCCCGCGTATACACGGGTATCACTGAACCGGCTTTATTTAGTGTGTTCAGTTGCCAGATCAAGGCTCTGCATTGCTGATGGCGTAGCCTGCAAGAGCGAATGGCAGTTGTCTGAGGTATGCAAGAAGACACGTAATGATATAGGCCCACAGTCCGATTAAGTGCGTTTTATTATTAGAAACATGATTAAATCATGAAAGTACCAAGTATAAACCTGTCTTCAATAACTTGTGCGATTGAAACGAAGATGGCTCCCTGATTTAAAACACTTTTTATTAGAAAATTAATTTTTCCCCGCGCAAAACCATTAAAATACAGGAATCAAAAACAAAATACATTAACACTACATATTTGTTTTTCCATAAAAATATATAGTCTTATACTCTTTTGTCCGAAATGTACCATCTCATACAAGTGTTTCAAATGTATAAAATACTGGCAAAACATGAAAGCTTTCTTCTACACTTTAGTACCTCCGTACACCATATATACATATTAAATCTGTCATACATTTTTTTTATAGATAACTATGTTTAATGGGCTGAATCCGCAATGTCCTATTCGCATTGCGCGCTCTATTTCATTACAAAACAAATGTGATTTTGAAAACCTTCAAGTATTTTTCCTGCCACCATCATCATTATTTTTGTACATCTATGTTTCACAAACATTTATCCGTGTTATTTGAGTTCACTAACGACCTGACTTGTGCAGGTTGGCCGTTCACCTTGAACTATGAGGCCTTTTGTTTTGAGAATGTTCATGCGTCGTTCAATGTTTGCCGCTGTGTACATAACTAATCAACTACCATTTGAAAAAAAGTCGACTTGAAGTCTTCATTGTGCAGAAGGTCTCTTTATAATGGTATGATTGATTAAAGTGCACTTTGCGACTGTATATGATTTCCTGTGGGCGGTAGTGTGACGACACATAAGCCACTCACTTTACCATTCATGGTTTTCTTTGGGAATTTAGCCACTAGGCCTACCTGAAAAAAAATGTTTCACCCAAAAAATGAGTTTCCATTGTGTCATTTTATACGTATATTTGCTCATTCGCCAGATGCCGTCATCTAAAACCAACCCAAAATTAAAAATACAAACCAAAACACAATTACAGCAATAAACAAGATAAAAAGATTACACTGTTAAACACCTTGAACGGCACTCCGCCTTTACAGAGGGCTGTCCTACTCTTTATCCATTTGCAGTTGATATGGAATCCCTTTGCTTAAATTATAACGATGACACAAAGGGAGAAATTATGAACAAAATATAAAAATGTATGCCCCTCTTTGTTCACTCACTGAAAAGCATTGTGTTACTCAAGTGTTTTCGAAAGGATACTATATCAGCAGGAATTTGACAAAGGCTACACACCTCTCAGGCCTAAAAACTCCAACAAGTCTGATAAGTACAAAATAAGTTGTTTTTCTCTTACATCAAGAAAGAAATTATATCCGTTGTCAGCAAATATAGAAAGACATGTACACGTATACATAAAATAAAAACGCAAACAACTTAGCTATATCTGTTCCCCCATAATATTTATCACTAGCTAGAACTTTTGTAAATAATTTGTGTTAAAAAAATTAATAACAAATTAAAACAAACCAAATTAAGTAAAATCAAAGGAGGGATTATCCCTCATTTGCTTTCCGCGCAATGAGTTCGTTTGCCAGGGCTATGTGTGTGTGAATGAATTGTCTCTGTGGCATACGGACTCATTGGTTGTATTGCGCATGCGTAGTATGATAATTAGGAGAGTAACCGGTCACCCGATAAGGTTTAACCAATAATAGGGTCAAGAGTCCGATGTTAATTGTAGTCCGATTTACATATGACATTGAGTCAAATTGACCCCAGAAATTAGTTAAAGATGTCATTTTGACTCAGAAGAGTGTCAAAGTAAAGTGTCAGGCCAAACTTTCCGCGATCCGGGTCTCGGTATTTTAATTTGCAGCACACATCATCAATGGATCATGATTATTCAGCTAGTTTGATGCTTATTCATAAGAAAATAACAATGACGTCACACCATTGCTATCACTCAGTCATGCATGTACAATAAAGCATTTCAAAGAACGGCTTTCGTCGAGCTGTCACAGTGGTCTAGTGGAGAGTGTAATGAACTATGTGGATTGCAAGATCTGTGGTTCGAACCCATGTCCATTTTCATCAAATATTTTTGTTCACTTTTGGTTGGGAATTTTAATTGAAGGGAAAACCTACGAGAACCTACTCGTAGTGTCTTCCATCCACACAGCGTGATCAATATTCACATTAGGGTGTGTGATGTGATTGGTTAAATAACGATGTATGCTGCAAACAAAAAAATACGCTTCCGGGTCAGTCACCAGTGCCTTTTGAGAGTGTACCTATCTAGGCTTTAATTTTTGATGTAGGGATGCAGCACAGACAGAAGTATCATTATGCCGAACCCAGTCAGTATGCCAGCATTCTGAAGCAGAAGATGCCCATCTCAGATCCAAGGCGGAATTTGCTCTTAGAGGTCACGTTGGCGATCTCTGGCAACTGTACAAATACAGGGAAACAACCAAAAGGAAACATTATTCAACGAGTACTTGGCCATTTTTAACGAGAAAAGTAGTGGGTATACTACCCTGTTCATTGGAGCAATGGAACATTCCCGGATCTCAGCTCCCTGGGGAGTATACAGCTTGATGCTGCCATTTCGGCGCAAAGCAGCTGAAATCAATCACAACATAACCATCTCTGCCCTCACAGATACCCAATTATTCCTGGTTGGGGTTCTTCCCAGGAGTGAAAAAGTGCCTTGCCCACGGGGAACACGCCCCATAACCCCAGGCTGGACTCGAACCCACAACCTGCAGAATTACCCGCAGACCAGAGTTCAATGCTGCAGACCACGAGGCCAACACACTGGGCTAAGGTCAATATTGATTTGTTATGAAACTTACCATATCCACCAATGCGATGTACAGGAACATGCCGGCGGCCAGTGCGAAGATGTACGGTTCTGCCTCGGTCAGACGGCCAACGATGATGCCGACGATCAGACCAATGTAGCAACTCAACGAGGACAAGAAGTTGAATCCCATGGCCTGCTTGACAGTCAGCCCAGACTTGAGCAGAACAGCAAAGTCACCTTTTAGCATCGGAGATAAAAGTGGAGACAGTCAATCGTGATTTTTTGGGGGGAGGGGGGCTGAAATGTTAACAACGATGGATCCTGTCCTATGTTAATGGTTCCCCTTTGTCAATGTCTTTATTCTGTGGGCGCTAGTCAGATGTCCTACACCCGTATAATGAAGCCAGAGATCACGCACAAAACTATTGAAAACACCCAACATGTGGCTGGACATCTCAGCTGGCGAATGGGAGCAGTAAACTCACCGAGCTCATGAGGAAACTCCTCACATGCGATGGCGATAGAGGTGGAGAAACCACTCAGCAGATTGGTGGTGAAGGACGCCCCAATAGCCAACCCGTCCACGAAGTTATGTAGACCGTCACCGCAGACGATCATGTAGCTACCGAGGCGATACGCACCTTGCCGTCTGCAGAGGTCAGTTCGCCGTGGCTGTGGCCATGTCCATCCTCCTTCTGTGTTACAAAGACACGAGTGGCAAAACAACAGTAAAAGGGAGACATTTTGAGACGTATCACGTATCACTTGTTTAGGGCCCTACGTCATGTTTAAGCTAATTAATGTGCGCATAATCAAAATGACGTAAACAATAGGAAAAAAAGGCCCGTGAGTTAATTTGCCGCCACCAAGCGTCTCGAATGTCTCCCATGGGCAAAACTTTTTTTAGCGAATGAAGGCGCTGTAACGACGCCATTTTCCGATTTAGTGTAAACTTGGATTCTATGAAATACCGACTCATTGGAGGTATCATGCATAACTAAGCGAATATAATGAGGAAAGTGGCATATTTTACGTATGGGTTCTAGTCCATAGGAGTCCCACATTTCATATGACACCAAAGACAAACAGTAGTAATATGGACGATCAGCAACTTTAATGTTAATTATAGATTACTCATTGAGAGTGTTACCATTGGCGACTGGAAGGATTCAGTCAGCTGGAGGGCAGATTCACCCGAAGTGATCTTGTACCCATCTCCCCCACTGGAATTGGGTCGTGCATTCCAGAGACATGAATGATGCTCTCCTTGCGTTTGGCTTCCTGTACAACCAAAACGAAAATTCAGTTGAGAAGAAATACCACTTATACATTTGACAACTTATAGTTTTTGAAGCATGTCGCCTACCAAATGGGCCACAAAATAGTCTGATTCCAAAGCTGTAAAAGCTGATTAATTTTTAATAGATTTAGTTCGTGGCTTCATTAAATCATCTCATTAGTATTCTTGGATTCAACAAAAAAAGGGGGTCAGCCATAGAATTGTTCCATTTTTTGTGCCGCACAATTGCGACTTTTGCTGGTTTCTTTGCCGATTTTGTGCGTTTTTTTTAACTGAAGTTATAGAGACCATTAGTATAACTACTATCTAAAGAGTAAAAAATACTTTACCCGAATGAAACGTCACTCCATCAGACAAACGGTCAGGGGAGATTAGGAAATTCATTCAATCCAATATGTATTGTGTTCACTCAAATGT